AATCCTAAACCTTTCCCAGAACTTGAAACAAATATAAGTGCTACCACAAACCAAAGTGGGAAATGCTGTGGAGAGATTGCTTCCTCTTCATCCTTTATTTTTTATTTATGCATCCCAACTGCTTTTTAAGATTTATCCTGTGTTCTCTTGGATGGGGTATTTGCTCTGTACAGTGAAATCTCAGGGATCAGGACTTTGGAGCAGCAATTTTGGGAAGTTAGTAATCAGGTGCAATCTGCTCAAGACTCCTTCCCATGAGAGACCAGAGAGACTTCTAATGGCTCATTTCAGCTGGAATACTAAAATCCACTAAGATACAATTATTATCTTTCACTAGAGCCAGTAGCCTTTGCTGGGGATCCAAATCTCTGATAAGGTCTTTCTATAATGATAATTGAAAAAGAATGAATGCCAGCTGAGAAATATGAGTATTAATTTAATAATGATTGATTCCTAGGTAGGCCTTATTAATATTTCTGTTTTAATCCAACTGACCTATTGCCTTATTCGGCCGCTTTTCAAAAAATGCAAGATAGGTTAGACTTAATGACCTAAAACATACATCTTTTTAGAGGTATAGGAGGCACAGCTAGCTTCCCATCAAAGTTTTATGTTCTAGGGAAGTAACTGCTCAGGCAGGGACCACATTTTCCAACCTTCTTTGTATGTAGTTAGGACCCTGTGACTGGTTCTAGCCAAACGGAATATGAATGGAAGTGAGACAGGTCATTCTTGGCAGATGTGCCTTCTCCATGGTCTCTTTCCCTGTTGTTGTGAATAAGGAGGACTCCCAGATTCAAGAAGGGCGAGGTGAAAGGAGCGTAAGTACCAAAATGATCATGTGAAAGGCCACTCTACTGAGAAATGGAGCTATCTATATTAGTCTGTACTGTGAGCAAAAAGTAAATGTTTTTTGTGTCAAGTCAATGATATTTTTGAGGTTTATATGCTTTAGCAGCTAACATTGTTTTAATAAATGTTGTTGGGTGCCATTGAGTCAATTCCAACTCATAGTGACCCCACGTGACAGAGTAGAACTGCCCCATACAGTTTTTCTTGGCTGTAATCTTTATGGAAGAAGATTAGTAAATCTTTTCTCCCGCAGAACCGTTGGTGGGTTCGAACTGGAGTTGGTAGGTTTAGTTAGCAGCCAAGCACTTAACCGTTGCACTACAGGGCTCCTTATTTTAATAAATAAAGTCAATAAAAATTTCAAAAAAAGAAAAAAGCCATTGTAAAATGACAGATTTTTCCCTATTCTCTATGCTAAAAGTTTAGGATTAGAACAAGTGAAGGCTGCTTTTGAGAATCATGTTAAAACCGCAGGATTTATGAGTGGAGAAGATGCATGCATTCCCTGTATACTGACCCATTCCTATCCATCCCTTCCCAGAAAATAGTTTTCCTAGACAACATTAAGTCCATCCTAGATGCTCTTCTCTTTTCTATCTACCTGCCTGTGTCCTACCCATTGTTCTGCTCAATTCCCACCTCCTCCATGAAGCTTTCCCTTACCACTACAGGGATCATTTCTTTCTTTGAGTTCACAGTAATTAAAACCTATACCAATCTTTGTGCTGCCTCATATACTGCCTAGTGATAGCACTTGCATTATTCCAATACTTTTAATGATTAAATGCATCATTTCTCTAAATTATAAGGTAATAGATCATGAAAGGAAACCCTGGTGGCATAGTGGTTAAGTGCTACAGCTGCTAACCAAACGGTTGGCAGTTAAAATCCACCAGGCAATCCTTGGAAACTCCATGGGGCAGTTCTAGTCTGTCCTGTAGAATCGCTTTGAGCCGGAATTGACTCCACGGCAACCAATTTGGTGTCAGGTTTTGTGGAGCGTGAGAGGAATAAAATGTAAAAAAAGAAAATAAAAGGTATTAGGAAAATGGAAATAGACACACGTATTTTTTTGCCCTGGTGGCGCAGTAGTTGAGCACGTGGCTGCTAACCAAAATGTCAGTGGTTCAAACCCACCAGCTGCCCTGCGGGAGAAAGATGTGGCAGTCTGCCTCCGTAAAGATTAGAGCCTTGGAAACCTTATGGGGCAGTTCTACTCTATCCTATAGGGTTGCTATGAGTTGGAATTAACTTGACAGCAACAGGTTTATTCTTTTGTCTATAGAAAGATGATTGCAGGGAAGAAGAATCCAAGGCATATTATACCTCGCTGTACCATTGACCTCCATATTAGAACATTTTTAGTAATATTCTGGATGTAGCAGTCTCTGAGCCTTTTATCTTCTCACAAAAATTAAGACATGTATTTATAGACATAGAAGTGGAAAATTGGTCAGAAACAGTGCTGACATCTCTGGTAATTTTGGCCATGCATGCCCCCTCGTTACAGTCATCTTCCAAATTTGAGAGTATATTTTCAACGAATGCAGTCCTTGGAATCATTCATATTCCACCAATGAGACCATCAATTGGGATACTATTAGGATGAAAAGTTTTATGTGTTGATCCCACCTGAATTTTGAGACCAGATTCATTCCACTCCCAGTGCCAACCATGTGGTAAACCCCTTCCCATTCCTCAGGATGTGACCTAAATTTCAATGGGCAAAATGTAATGTGAAAGCTATACCTAACTCTGAGTGATCAATCCTCATTGTTGAATTTCAAATGTCTACATTTATCGCACCAGATCTTAATCATTGACAACTGTAAAAAGACCCTTAGAGATTTTCACATGCACTATATTCAGGAAATTCTCAGGTATACTTTCCTCAGAAATGTAAGTCATGGCCCTATGTGCACACATACAAGTTGTAATTTGAAGACCTGTTTAACGGCTAAAACCAAACCAAATCAAACCCACTGCCATCAAGTTGATTTTGACTCATAGCAACCCCATAGGGTTTCCAAGGCTGTAAGTCTCCACTGAAGCAGCCTGCCACATCTTTCTCCCTTGGAGCAGCTGGTGGTTTAACAGTTGCCAAACCAAACCAAACCCGTTGCCATCGAGTTGATTCCAACTGATAGCAATCCTATAGGACAGAGTAGAACTGCCCCATAGGGTTTCCAAGCAGCACCTAATGGATTTGAACTGCCCACCTTTTGGTTAGCAGCCGTAGCTCTTAACCACTGCACCACGAGGGCTCCAGTTTAACAGTTAGGTTTAGATAATTTGAAAGATGAGAACAAGATGAAGCCATGAAGGAGAAAACATTGAATGAAGGATTTAGGTGTCTCACACTTGTACTGAAAAACAAGAACTGTGAATTCTCTTCCATGCAGTTGAGCCCAATTATTTCAGGTGCATTATGGGAATTAAGCTTGACTCATTAACCAAATAGCTAAGCATAATTTATTTGAGGCAATTTTAGAAATGTACATAATATCTAGTGTTTCTATCACACATTAAGCTTCTAATTAACATGGTAATAATGCAGCATTTTTAGTTGTCCGACTCTCAGTAAAACATGAAACACGGAGTACAAAAGCACTCTTGTGCCAACTGAGCTATTTCTTTCCTCCAAAGAAGTAAAAGTTATTTACCTAGATTCTTTTTAGTTACAGACATTGATGGTATCCTAATGGAAGGAGCAGGTAGCTTAAAAAGAAATCTGCAGCGTCTGAATTATTTAATAGGAGAACAGAAATAGGGTAAATGAAAAGAAAGTTGGCCACTTGGTGCAAAATAAAATACTTCTTAAAATCGCTGTTGAGAAAAACAAGTCTAAAAAATTTCAGCACCAAGGTGAATTTTTATTACAAAAGTACATGAAAACAGAGTTTAGAAAAGATGTGATTTTTCAGTCACTTGTCTAGTATATTATTACAATAACAACAAAAGCAAAAATGAGGTGAATTGTTGCAAAGGAGGGAGACTATCATGAAAGATAGGGAGTAGATTTACTTGCTGTTTATTATATCATCCCGTTTGCAGCGCTACATTTGAGATTGTGTCAGCACTTCCAATATAAGCTTGTACTTTGAGGAATTGGGAATTTGGCCAACAAAAGATCATTCTGAACTAAAAGTTGGCACAAAAAGTTTCCTCCCATGAGCGAAAGTTGTTTTCTTTATTTATTCTTCTTCAACTTCTTTTTTTCCCCCCTCTTTACAAAATTCCATAAATCCTCATATGGTTGCTTTTAAACTTGAATATCTGAAGTAAAAGTTAAGCATAAGGGGCCAACCCAGTGGTTTGAAGACAATACATCTTTTGTCCATCTGGGCAGCATTTGTATTTGGTGTGTTATATGAAGGAACCAATACTATCCAGTTGGGAGTATTTAGGCAAAAAGTAAAGACTAATTTCCAAAGACCTCTTGGTCATTGCCTCCGATAATGAAGTTAAAAGGGATAAAATGAGGGTGAGAGAGAGCTTATTCACTTATTCCCATTATTGTGTACATGATAGCTATTTATAAAAACTGTTCTTCACATCTCTGCTGCATAGAGTCTATTTATTGTACAGTTTTATTGATGTATAACTTACATATAAGAAAATTAACCCATTTTAAGTGTACAGTTCTATGAGATTTGGTACATGTATACAGTCATCCAACCACAATAAAATTTCAGAACAATTCAATCACCACAAAAAATTTTGTGCCACTTGGCAGTTGTTCCCTACCTCAGCCCTAGGCAATCACTGATATGCTTTTGGTCACTGGGAATTTCCTTTTTCTAGAATTTCAAATAAATGGAATTAGATAATATATAGTATCTTTTATCTGTCTATAGCTTCTTTCACTTAGTATATTTTTGAGAATCGTCTGTGTTCTTGCATGTATCAGTAGTCCATTCCTTTTTATTGCTGAGTAGTGTTCCCATATATGGGTGTACCAAATTTGTTAATCTGTTAATGAGTCATAGACATTTGGGGTATGTCCATTTTGGGAGTATTGTGAATAAAACTGATATGCATATTTGGGTACAGATCTTTATGTAGGCATATATTCCTTTCTCTTTGTTAAATATCTGGTAGTAGGATTGCTAGATCTTATTTATTTTATTTGTTGAGAATATACACAGGAAAATATGGAATGCTTCACAGATTTGTGTGTCATCCTTGCTCAGGGGCCATGCTTATCTTCTCTGTATCGTTGTAATTTTAGTGTACGTGCTACCAAGGTGAGCACATTTTGCTAAGTCATATAACAAATGTATGTTAAATTTTATATAATACTGGCAAATTGTTTTACAAGTGGATATGTCATTTGGCTTTCTCACCAACAATGGGAATTCCAGTTTCTCCACATTTTTACCAACAGTTTATGCTGTCAGTTGTTTTCCTTTTAACTGTTCTAACGGGTGTGTACTGATATCTCATTGCGCTTTTTTGCCATTTGTATATTTTCTTTGTGGAAGTATTTACATCTCCCCCTCCTCTAACTTTCTTGTTGGATTGTTTGTCTAGTTATAGAGTTGTAATATTTCTTTATATACTCTGGAAAAGAATCCTTTGTCAGATATATAACAAGCAAAATTTTTTCCCAATCTATGGCTTGCCTCTTCATTTTATTAACAATATTTTTCAATGAGCAATTTTTTTTAAGTTTGATGTAGTCTAATATATCAATATTTTTTTCTCTCATGGTTCATTTATTTCTTGTGTCCTAAGAAATCTTTACCTAATATAAGGCCTCTAAATTTTTTTGCCTCTGTTTTCTACTAGATGTTTTATGAATATCTATTTAATTTGACTTTCTGATCCATTTCATGTTAATGTATATGGTGTGAGGTAAGGGTTGGGATTCTTTTTTTTTTTTTGTGGTATGAGTGTACAGTTATTCCAGTGGCATTTATTGAAAAGACTATATCCTATCCACATTGAATTACTTTGGCACATTTGTGAAAGAAACTATTGATATCTCAAATCAAGTATGGGTCTTTTTCTTGACCATAATTTCTGTTCCATTGATCTAATGCCTATCCTTATTCCAATACCAGACTGTCTGATTACAGTAGCTTTTTGTAGGTCTTTAAATCAGATAGTGTAAGTCCTCTGACTCTGTTCTCCTTTCTATTGTTTTGGCTATTCTAGCCCTCTGCATTTCTGTATAAATTTTAGAATCAGTTTGTCCATTGCTCCAAAAAAAAAAAAAAAAAACCCTGGAATTTTTATTGAGATGCACTGTATCTATAGATAAGTTTAGAAAGAATTGTTACCTAAACAATAATGAGTCTTCTAATCTATGAATATGATATAGCTCCTTGTTTATTTAGGCCTTCTTTAATTTATCTCAGCAATGATTTATGGATTCACTGTAGAGGTCTCGCACATTTTTTGTTAAATCTATTCCTAAGTATTTTAATTGTTTGATGGTATTATGAACGATGTTTTAAATTTCATTGTCAGATTGATCTTTGCTAGTAATATAATTCACTTTTGTTTATCGACCTTGTATCCTGTGACCTTGATAAATTCACTTAATAGTTCTAGTAGTTTTTTTTTTTTTTGGGGGGGGGGGTGGATTCATTAAGTTTTTTTAATATAAGAGTTTAAAGCTATAAATTTTCTTCTGCTTTGGGTACATTCCACAGATTTTGATTTTTTTCTGTTTTCAGTCAATTCAAGATATTTCCTTATTTCTTCTTTGACTCGTGGATTATTTTGAACTGTGGCTTTAGGTTTCCACATATGTGAGATTTCCCAAATTTATTTCTGTTATTTTTGTCTAATTAAATTCTTTTATGATTGGTGGGCATAACTTTAGGCCTTTTAAATGTATTCAGACTTGATTTATGGCCCAGTATGTGGTTTGTGCTGATGAATGGTCCATGTGCCTTTGAAAAGAATATCTATTCTGTTGTTACCTGTAGTTTTTTATATATGTCAATTAGGTCAGGTTGGATATAAGAGTTTTGAAATCTCTATCTTTACGGCCTTTCTGTCTACTTGTTCTAATAATTGCTAATAGAGGAGCATTGAAATCTTGAACTATAAATTTTGTCAGGCATATGTAGTTTAACAGTAAGCTAAGTGTATGTATGGAGAATTTATTATCACAGCACTTCCATAGCTCTGTCTCTTCCAAAATCCCTTCCCCCTAAGTTTATAGCTGCTCTGCCACCTGCCCCAACTCTAGTCCATCACTTTTGGCTGGTAAAGCTGTGGATTTTCACTACCCTAGCTTGAAGGGGATAGTAACACTCCCCTAGTAAGAAATTCACAGTTCTTATCAAATACAGTAGCAGTTTTTAAGGAATAAACACTTGTAAAGATGTTGCCAGCTTTTGGCTATTTTCAAATCCCTGAAATGACTGTTTGGAATAATTTTGTCCAGTTTTATATTTGTTTCCTGTTGACAGAAATTGTCTAACCTCATCACACTGCCCATTCCCAGAAGCAGGACTCATAACTATTTTGTAGAGTGAAGTGAAATAAAGCAAGCTTATCCTTTCCTTGATATTATTAGATTATCATTAGACTGTATACATACATGCAGGTATATATAGTCTAATGATAATCTAATAATACGTAGCTACTGTGTATCATATATATATTATATATCCTCTCTTTGATGAGGATGTGGGGAAACAGGCGCTTTTGTACATGACTTTGACACATTTTCTGAAGGGTAGTTCAGCTATAGCCTTACAAAGGTATTCCCTTTGACCAACCTTTCTACTTCCAGGAATTATCCTAACGAATAATTGAAAATGTGAGCTAAATTACATGTGCAGAGATGCTCACTGAGCAGTATTTTAACAGCAGAAATTAGAAGAAACCCAAATGCCCATCAATAAGGTTTTTGATGTAGCTATGAAATAAAATGCCATAGTGCCAATATAAATAATGATATAAATTGGTAGATGTATGCATATTACTACATGAAAAAGGCAAAGAGCAAAGAAAAAGAAAAAGCAATATAGTAATATAGTACCACTACTGTCCCAGTTTTTAAAGTTCATATAGATACATTGAAAAAGTATATGGAAAGTTCTAATGGTAAAAATTTAACTGCTAAATCTATGGCTATGCAGAATGCATAAGTATATAGACACTGTCTGATTTGGAAAAAAGGAAAAAATGAAAGCAGTTGATTAAAGTGATGGTATTATCATGTATTCTATTTTTTATAATTTCCTTCATTCCTGTTATAATGCTTATGTGATGCTTTTTAATGTTAAAGAAAAAATGAATTCATTGAATAACTCCTAAATCCTAATTTCTTTTTTAAAGTTGTTAGATTATTAGCTGAAGAATCCCTTTACATTTGAAATAATTCCCTTATCTGGTGGCCTGATTATTGCAGTTTCTTAGTTTCCTCTTCTTACATATGAATCACAAAGGGCAAATCAAGCAGTATTCTGCTTAAACATATTATTTAGTAAGATTTAATAACCCCTTCATCTTATGCCCCCTTTATTTTTCATTGAACATTATGACATCCGCATTCTTCCATGATGCTACATTTCCTTCACAACTACTTCTATTATTTTAGTGGAATATCTTTATTTATTACTACACATGAGGAAACAGAGATATAAAAGTATCAGGGTTTGAAACTAGGCATTCTGATTAGGTAATATGCTGTCTTTGCTGTCTCCTAGATGATCATATTTAAGATTTTTTTTTAATATAAAGAAAATAAAACTCATTTATTATCCCCTGACCCAAAGATAATACCAATGTTAATATTTTAATGTATTTACTTATGAGTTTTATGCAAATATGATATTACTTTATCAAAAAGTGTCATAATATTATACATATTGCTATCTAACCTGATTTTTCTCACTTAGTGATGTGTGGTGGTGGTTGTTAGGTACCATCGAGTCAGTTCCAACTCATAGCCACCCTGTGTATGACAGAATGAAACACTGCCTGGTCCTACACCATCCTCATAATTGTTGTTATATGCAGTCTTCGATCTTCATCAGTGAGTGCTTCAAGTCCTCTTCACTTTCAGCAAGCAAAGTTGTGTCATCTGCATATTGCAGGTTGTTAAATGAGTCTTCCTCCAATCCTGATGTCATGTTCTTCTTCATATAGTCCAGCTTCTCAGATTATTTGCCCGGCATACAGATTAAGTAAGTATGGTGAAAGGATAAAACCCTGATGCACCTCCTTCCTGATTTCGAACAACTGCCTCTTGGTCTATGTACAGGTTCCTCATGAGGACAATTAAGTGTTCTGAAATTCCAATTTTTTGCAATGTTATCCGTAATTTGTTATGATCCACACAATTGAATGCCTTTTAGTCAATAACACACAGGTAAACATCTTTCTGGTATTCTCTGCTTTCAGCCAAGATCCATCTGACATCAGCAATGATATCCCTCATTCCACGTCCTCTTCTGAATCCGGCTTGAATTTCTGGCAGTTCCCTGTCTATGTACTACTGCAATTGCTTTTGAACGATCTTCAGCAAAATTTTACTTGCATGTGATATAATGATATTTATCGATAATTTCTACTTTCTGTTGGATCACCTTTCTTTGGAGTAGGCATAAATATGGACTTTTTCTAGTCAGTTGGCCAGGTAGCTGTCTTCCAAATTTCTTGGCAGAGACAAATGGGCACTTTCAGTGCTCCATCTGTTTGTTGAAACATTTCAATTGGTATTGTCAGTTCCAGGCACCTTGTTTTTCTCCAGTGTCTTCATTGCAGCTTGGACTTCTTCCTTCAGTACCATTGATTCTTGATCATACACTACCTTCTGAAATGACTAAACGTCAACCAATTCCTTTTGGTACAGTGACTCTGTGTATTCCTTCCATCTTCTTTTGATGCTTTCTGCATCGTTCAGTATTTTGCCCATAAAACCATAGAATCCTTCCATATTGCAGCTCGAGGCTTAAATGTTTTCTTCAGTTTTTTCAGCTTGAGAAATGCTGAGAATGTTCTTCTCTTTTCATTTTCTAACTCCAGGTCTTTGCACATGTTGTTATAATACTTTAGTTTGTCTTCTCAAGCCACCCTTTGAAATCTTCAGTTCAGCTCTTTTACTTCATCATTTCTTCCATTCCCTTTAGCTACTTGACGTTCAAGAGCAAGTTTCAGAGTCTTTTCTGGCATCCATTTTGGTCATTTGTTTCTTTACTGTTTTTTTAACGACCTCTTGCTTTCTTCATGTATGATGTCCTGATGTCATCCTACAATTCATCTGGTCTTCAGTCGTTAGTGTTCAGT